AAGGGGGTGGTTTTTATTAGTAGCAGATAGCCCACAAGTTATGTATATGAACATACATTTTCTATTTCCTGTCATATCCTCATCCAAATCTTCAGAAGATGTATACATTAAATATACAAGTTCTCTGAAAGATGAGACTAAGTAAAAAAAGGACTCATTGCTTTTAAATCTATTATTTTTATATGTACTTGTAAGCAAGTGTTTGTTTCACCTCAAAGAAAGTTTAGTTTAACCCTCTAAGGCTAACCTAAGTGTGGGTGGAGGCACTACTCTAGCTTCAACAGAATGACTAATTTCTAATTACAGATCTTTGTTAATGGTATTGATGCATAAGCCATAAAAAAGCACAGCTTGTCTCTCAGATGCCAGGTGTATATTCCATGGTCAGTAGCTAGAAAACATCCTCTTAATGGCAAACTGAACATATTGGATCTAGAGGTGATTTAAAAAAAACACTTTCTCTATAGGCTTGGTCTGTACCCTATTGCTCTCAGTTGGTACCTAGACTGGGTTTAAAATTATTTGCAGACATTAACTTTTTCAAGTGAATCATTACATTTACAAAAATAGCTACTTACTAGTTCATTAACTAAAAGCACTGACAAGGCTCTTTAGTTTAAATAACCTGATATGTCTTCTGAACAATAATCTTTGCCACAAAATATAAAAAACCCCATTAGAACGTGTTGTAGGTTACCAGCGTTTTGACAATTTTTGAAAACTGATGCAACTCCTTTTAAAGCCTCTCTATTATCCAGGATAGCCTAATCTTCATTTCATTTCTTCACCACTGTTTCCCCTCTAGAACATGGACTATTCTCAGTAAGAAACCCCCAAAAGAATCTAGCACTTGACACTAAATTTTTGTAACATTAAATACATCTGTATGCATAACACATCTTCAGATTCATTTGAATGTAACAGAACATAGTAGCTGGCTGTATCAACAAAGAAAAATCCCAAACAAAACAAAAAAACAAACCCAAAACCCAAACAATGTGTCCCACAAAACCCAGCAGCTGAATCAACATTACCTTTTCATCATTCAGCCTCAAGTTAAGATGAAAAAACTGCTAAACCCAAACCTATTTTCTCATACTGTCTGTATACCCTGATATAATTCTTCACAACAGTTTGTCAAGCTGAGATTTTGAGTGTTTAGACACATCAAAATTAGAAATTTTTGAAGCATCTACAATGAAAAAAAAGACACTTGCAAGTACATACTACATATAGCATGACATTTTTATGGCATTCAGTACAGTCTGAATTTTTTCCCAAAATTTGTTTTCACACAGCCATATATATAAGTATTAGTTTTAGAAACTAATCTAACCCTGAACTTGACTGGTAGTGATGTCTCTGAGATCATGCTTTGGGAGATTCAAAAGGATCATTATCTGGATATTTCTCATTTGAAATCATGTCCATTTGAACAACTTATGCCTCTTGCTACAAGATAAAAATAAACAAAGACAGCAGAAGTAAAAAGGTTGACATGAAAATTGCTACATTAAATTTGTTGCTATCTGGCAGTTTGCTAATTTTTGAATATACAGTTTGTCTAGACACGTTCAGATCGCTGTTTTGAAGGTAAAAGCCTAAGACATAAAAATTATCAGTAATTGGACATTCTAACAACATGCTAAATAAACCAGGAATGCTGACAGGCAACATCTGAGACCAGCCCCATAAATATTAGCAATCATACTACATGGAAGGCACTAACTTCAGTCAGTATGCAGCTATTTCTGAGATTACTGTCCTGTGCAAAGGCACAAAGTAACCAAAACACAGCTACAGTTAAAGAAATAGCAAAGACTCAACAAGGTGTTAATATAAATCAACATTCCTCTAGTTACAGTGGAAGAACAAGAAATTTGAAATTCTATAAGTGTTTGTTTTACAGTAAACACTGAAAATGTTTAGCTTTTTCCAGTTACACACTGGCCAACAACTCAGAGCAAAATCTATACCATTTATACACTTACGCTGTCAGACAAATTCTTGTATAAAATTAATTGTCAGAAGAACTTCATTAGCTCCCTAACATCTCTTTCTGGTGGGCAGAAAGAATTAAACTTATGCAGCAGGTTAATCTTGATGCTGCATGAGCTTTTTCTGTTATCCTTATGAAAATCTTGATAAATTATCAACTACTGAAATGCCTTTGTTCTCTACAGTAATCTTTAGGCAATCTAGCAGCATCACATGTATCCATACATGCATGTCATAGAAGCCCTTCTCCTGGGTCTCTTCTCTACAATGGTTGCTTCCCATGAGAATATCCTCCAGTCTACAAAAATCTGCCTCAAAGCTGAGAAACAAGGGTTATGTCCTGCACCAGCTGAAGCAGGATTACAAGTTTAACAGAGAAGTATAAAAACCCAGTATTTATGGGTTGGGTTTTTGTTTTTTTTTTTTTTTAATTCTAATGACTGTTGTCAGTTTTACTGTCTTTAATGTTGAGGAACAATTTATCACTCAATCCTAACTCACACAAAATGGTTTAAACAACATTTCCAAGTGACAAAGACAAGCTTCAACCACTGAACTGCAGTGGTTGTTACAAGAAATACACATATATTGTAATTCTAGATATATTTTTACAATATCCTACCTGCAAAATGGAATTACCCAAATATATCCACAAGACCAGACTATTACGTAGCTTCCTCCAGTGGGTAGTCCCTAAATCTTGTTTCTTCTGCTATTTATTGTAGTTAACTGTTACATAAATACTGAAATTCTGCATTCAAATGCTGTAAACTGGGGAAGGCATAAGAGTTTATGCTTCATCTCTCTAATACAAAAGCCAAAGAAATTAAGCCAAAATATATACCAAAACATTGTTACTGATATTAAAAGGAAAAGCAGTGAAGTCAGCAAAAAACAGAGTTAGTATTTTAGTATTCTGATTTGACCCCTTGTGAATATGCATTACAGTGTATTTAGTTACATGGTCAAACATGACTTTCCCACCACAAGACTCAGGAAGCAAGACAGATGTTCATCTTTTAGTTGAGTTGTCAGATATTTGCTATGAATCATCAAAACTTTGTTTTGACCCTGGAATTAGTGCGTGTTTTAATGAGGCTCATCACAGTACAGTAGGTTTTTTTTCTGCAATACCCCTTTGAGGGAAAGAGCAATTAAAAAGGCATAGCAAAGCATTCAACAAATTTGAAGGCCACTGGAATCAGATAACAATTTGATACACCCCTAAAATACCACAACAAAAATCAAGGCAGCTCTATGATATGGGATGGGAAATTAGAGTGAAATTTCATATTGAGCATCAGAAAGACTTCCTTACAGGTTGAAGTCATTAAGGAAGAAGAGGGAAAACCCAAATGCAATGAGCAGTTGTCACTTTCTACAAAACATATTATACTGCACAATCCAACTCTTAAAAAGAGTGTATGCAATGTGCACTGCCAGTGCAATAATGACTGATGAAACATGTAGTGAAGCAGAAACGTTTTAACCAAAGGTCAGGGACAAATTATTTTCAAAACACTACTGCCTAGGAATCCTACAGGTAGCCCAACAAGGATAACCTCACCAGCTCCCTAAGTGCTCACCCCTCCATTGAAGCAGCTCATGTGGAGCTTCCACTCACTTTCAGAAGAAAAAAAAAGGAAAAAAAAAAAGGAAGAGCATGACTGAAATGACTAATGATAAAATTTCTTTCCCTTTGCCTCTTTCAGGATATTATTCTCTGTGTTGCCAGCTCATGCAGTTTGCCCTAGCATTCAGGCTGTCATTTGACCCCTCGTGCCTAGTATTTAGTAATGTGCTCACTGCAACTGCTTCAGAGAAAGGCTCCTCAGATCACTCAGTGCAAGGGTATCTCAGCAGTTAAAATACCTGGCACTATGAATCCCTCTGCTGTCGGTATCTGCCTAACCTCATTCATTTTTACAGCTGGAATCAGCTGGAATGTGCCTGTTACTTGTCCTCAGGAGAGCACATAGCGAGGGATTTACAGCAAAGTAACTAACCTCAGGTCTCAAGTTTGCTTATTCCCTGGCATACCATTACATCCTTGGGGAAAGATAACGCAGCTGACAAAAAATGTCACAGCCCCTCAAAATAAATATATGTCCAGTTCTGGGGTCTGCTGCCAACTCTGTTTATGTTCCTGGCTTTCTCTCAGCACATTTCTAAAGCTGTGGACTTTGTTAGGAGAATAAGGAAAGATTTAGTCAGATATCTTTTCAGAAAAAGGTCTGTGCTTGTTCCTCATCACTCTGTAATGGCATTTTGGTGTTACAGCAACTGAATATGCAGTGGTGCTTGGGTAGCAACGCAAGAACCTAATAAATAAAACATGAAATTTGAAGTAGAGAAAATTCAATAAAATTTCATGCATGCTTTTCATTTTTCATGCTAAGGATCAGAATATTAAGTACATTTCAGTGCCCAATTCTGTAATAAGTATTAAAGTCCCTCATCATTCCTTGTATTGCATTAGAATTAGAAACTCCAACCAAAACCCAGCATGTCAGAGGTGGTACAAAGAGTAAGTCAACAGTAGACGTGACAGTTAAGTGTTTCTAACAAAATGCTTATGTTCTAAACAGACAAGACAAATTAAGTAGAAAGATACCTGTTTTGCCAGCATGGAATTGAAGGTAAGTGGGAGCCAGAGACTACTCTTCCTACACCCATTCTAGGATTCACCACACTTAGAAGTTATAGAATTAATGTGGTTCTAGAAAGAATGGTCCTAATATTAAATCTAACACATCGGAGTATTTCAATTTTAGGATTGTTTGTTAATTGCACAGTTGCTAGCAGAGTACATATCGGTAAAAACCCCTTTATTTAATACAACAGAACATGAAAAGAAATGGTCTGTGTACCTGTATTGTATTGCTTACAGCTTTACAAAGAAAAGCAGCTATTCTTTGGCTTATCTCTGCATACCAGATTTTAAGCTAAAGAAGTGCAGACCTTTTCGTGCAAAAGTTCACTTTAAACAATATACAACTTACGCATTTCTTCAACGACGTCTGGATCACATTCTCTGTATTTGTCTATGTCTGCCTTTAACTGTTCTTTTTTCTGCCGAAGGGCAGCAAGTTCCTCTATTAGAGCTGCACGTTCCGCCTGAGGATTTGAAGTATGTTGGGAGATATAAAAAAAATACAAAATAAAAATCAGCCATTATTGCACAGAATGTTTTGCAAAAAATAAAAATATGTAAATTTAAAAGCTGTTTTCACTGCTGTTTTCTGTCAGTGAACCAGTTGAGCATTTTATGCACACATAAAACTCTCAGTGACACTAAATGATATCCAGTGCAAACTGGAAGGAAAAAAAATAAAACCAAAATGGATAAACAAAAGGACAATTTTCTATAACCTTTGAATTCTACATGGTTTGACAAACTCCAAACTGAGTTCTTAATTGTTGGGTTTACAGGTTAAGCAATATTTAGGAGTGCTAGTCTTGTAATTAAGGACAGCATTACAGAACAACCTACCATTCATACTTCCACAAACCAGGATGCTGTGTACAAATACCCTCTAAATCTATTTTGCTCCTTTTTCCCCACAGCATTTAAGAGCAGTGGTCTCAAAAGTAAATTCAGATATTTATGACATGGTAGTCTTTGCTGGGAAAGTATATAATACCAACCCCAAATATTCTATTGATTAGTAAGAATCTGCAGACACTGACTCAACATGAGCTTTCCCATAGCCAACTCAGCACATAGTTTTAATTCAGTCTGTAGTTACAGCCAAACACTATAACTGGCTGAGATTCAAAGAACTCATGCTAGGGCACTGGGTAGCCTAAAAAAGCCAGATAGCATGAATTTGTAAACCACTGGTTTTTAGCCAGCGGCAATTTCCACAGCAGTCCAGCAGCCTGAGGTGGGTTTTGGTTTGAGGGTTTTTTTGGGGGTGCGGTAGGTGTTGGTTTTGTTCCCTCCCCCTCCCCCCAACTTTCATATTTGCAGTGCTTTTGCCAGCAGTCTGTATTCAGCACATTCTGAAAATGCAGACTGGAAATCAAAAGCTTCCAGATGCTGGGGTATGGAGGCCAGCTGCTCAGAGACCCACATCATGATCTATATTTCTCAGGACTTCTTCCTGATGTACAATCCCAAATCAAAACATTGGAAGCATCAGTCAGAACAGGATTTCCAGGACCCATAGGATTTTGTGACTAGGGCAGGCCACATGGTAGAGAAGCTCAAGCCCATTTGGAAACCTGACAAGCACAACTGCGTGAGAAACCTACCTGTGATTCCCTGATTACAGACAAACCCAAAGCATTTCTACAGAAAAATATTTTGGATTCTAAGATTTGGTACTTTTCTACAAAATTCAATTCCATCAGAAACCTTCTGGATGTCCATGTATATGCTGCTTTTTTTTTTTTTTGAGGTTTAAATCACTTTAAACTAAGCATCTCAAAACAAAGCAGCAATTTAGAATACCATATGAAGTATTTCTAATATGCAACTTCATATATATGGTAAATATGAAGCCGAAATATTATTTTGCAGTGTTAAGAGCTTCGGCATACAAAAAGCACCAAGCTAACACAGCTGCTCAGAGTAGTAATTTAGAAGTCTAGATTATAAATAAGACATAAAAAATAAGACCCCCAACACCTAAGTTTGCAGTTACTAGATTTGGCAGTTCAGCAACCATTGACGACTTTGGTACATACCTCTGGGTAGTTCAAGTTTTAAGATATCTATAAATCTGAAAAAGCCTGGAAGATTACTAGGCTTCAGGCAGTCACACATTTTCTCAGTCCTGGAGCAACCAGTTGTCAGTATTCTACATGTTAATGCATGACCAACTAAGGAATAATCCAGCAACTGATTTATATAATGTCCTGTTCTCATCACAGATATTTAAAATCAATGGATTTCCAATGACTACATTAGTATTTACAAACCATGTATACTTGTAGCCCTATTTCCTGGCAGGAATACCTCCCCCTCAAAGCAACTTACAGTATCTTCACGTCCAATTTTGGATTTTTCGATGCTTTTTTGTAAAGCCTCTTTCTTCTGACTGCTTTCAGCAAACTGATAAAGTAAACAAAGAACAAAGTCAACATCTTTCAGAAACAGATATTAAACATATCTATAAAATGTGTATACATAGAAATATATTTAAATAAACACATGGATATATACTTTTAAGTATATAAATTTATATATGTTTATAACTTGTATAATAAAAACAAAAACAAAATGAATACAAAAGCACTCAAATATAAGTCTGAGGCTCTGAACAAGAGAAAATAATTACAGGAAGCAAGTTAAAGCCAAGAAATTTTCACTCCCATGGCACATAATCTTGTTCTGTACTACATGTTCAGCACAGGATCAAAATCCTATTTCATACCATAATCTGGCATCTCCATGCAAAGGACTCTATGACATGGAGGCTTTGGATTAGATTATTTCCTCTGGTCCTTTTCCAACTCTCTTTACTCAGTGGAAGCAGTGACAAAAGTTGTAGCAGATCCACCTGCTCAGCTGCTGAGACCAGTCTTCCCAAAGTCTGGTATGCCATTGGCATGGCCTCAATCCCTTTTGCATACCGATGAATAGAAGCCTCTATAGCTCAAAGGTATGAAAATCCATGGTCCTCTTTTTCTGTGCTGCACCCACACTGCTACACTTCAGAGTTCCCTTCCTTCAGGCCTGAGACAGAGGAATCTCACAGAAGTGGCTGTCTCACAGGGGTGGTGTGAATACTCCCTCCATTCTCCTGTAACTCCAGGAGGAATCACTTGTAAAGAGAGATCTCTCTCCATTAACCCACCACCCATCTTGAACCAGGCCCTTCCAGTTTAGTTGGATGTTTTCCAGAGATACTCTGGAAACTCTTAAGCTGAGCAGGACGTATGACTTGTCCCCCAGAGACACAATAATCAGCATTAGTCAAAGCACCTTGAAATATTAAGTGAGATGAATGAGAATTTAAAAAAAAGTCAAATAAAATATAGTTTGGAAGCTAGTTACTGCCTTTGAAACCAACACCAAAAAAAAAAAAAAGAAGAAACAACAGTATGCTTTGTAAGTACTCACTCTTTGGTTTATCTTCTAAGCACCAGTTTGGTAGAAAACTAGTGAATCAGACTAATTGTGAAGACAATGAAGGTGGCTGTCAGAGCTTAGGTTTCATTCTGCCTTTCCCCAAAAACCCTGACACAAAGTCTCCACTTATAAATTCCCTTTCTCACTGAGGATCTTACTGAGTGGAGAAGCATTCCTAGATGTTTCTTGCAACCCCTAGCCTCGATAATTTAACCATATCATTTATATTCTTGTGCAGCTGAAACACCAGTACTACATTCATACAATGCAAACAGAACTGTTTTGGAGCTATAACCACTTCTCAATTTCTATTTAAACTCACGTTCAGTCCGTATTTTCAGAAACAAATGTAAAATATAAATGCATGATAAATATCAGGCAGAGCATACTGCTAAATTTTAGAGATCAGCCATAACGGTAAAAAGAAAACTCATACTGGTGGTCCATATAGGTTAGGACTGACTCAGCTCAACTACAGCTCACTAGGTTTAGGGGTTCCTTTTATAGCTCAGTTTTTAAAAATTAATTACTCTTTTTGGATAATTATGTGTTCATGAATGTGTTAGCATACATACATACAAGAAGGTCTCCTTTCAAAAAGAATGTTCTAGTTTTTCTTCAATTTATATAGAAATTACAGTAATGGTAAGGCATATATAATTCAGGGAAAAATATGTCCAGCTGTTTATTCATCGCTGTCAGTGCAAGTAACCACAAAGGCAGGGTGGGTTTCAGTATGTGGCTTGAAGTACACCAACATCTTAATTTTGGTGGATCATTACACAGCACTCTTTCTGGGCTTTCCACAAAACTCTTAAAAAATTAAGTGTGTTAGTCCCCACATTATGCCATACTGAACAGAAGTGCACAGTTCAGAGGACAAGTACTTAGGTGCAGTTTGCAGTTCATAAAGCCCAGGGAAGACAAACACCAGAGCACACTTTGACAAAGAGCTTTTCTGGAACAAAATTTCCAGAAGAAGCAGAGAAGCCAACAAGCTTATCTAGGCCCATATCCCACAAGTGCAAAGAACAAACCAATACTTTCTGCAAGAGAGGGCACAATGGTGTTGCTTTCTCTGCTTTTTCATATTCATTAAGATCTTTAGGAAGGTTCCTCAATTCTCTAAAATGGAAGCACAGAAGGAGCTCTCAGGGAATTGTAATAAAATCATAAAAGCTGCTTTCCAGCTTGGAAGCATGTTTCCCAGTATGGCATCATTATTTTCTTGGTTCTCTATATTCCACAGCATTTAGTCGTGAAAGAGACAGTAATGACAAACACTGAGAACTACAGAAATTTCTCAGATTCTGACCTAGATAACATGCAAGGTTGCCATGCCACAAGGTTAGAAGATCTTCTGTCTAAAAGCAATGATGATTTTTATACAATGTTATTCAAGATTGTCTTCTTCTCTCACACATTTTAAATTCCTGGGACGTTTTAGGTTTTTTAATTCTGTCTCCACAATCAAAAATTTACAAAATAAAATGAAACCACAGCTCTTTGTGTACTATGTGTCACAGTGAGTATTCCCATGACAACAAATAGAAGATGAGGATAAGGAAAGGAATAGCTGAAGGAGGCAAGATATTGAAAAAAAACAAACATAGAACAAGGATGCAAAGGGTGAGGAACAGATGGCCAGGGTCTGTGCAAGGAATCTATGACAACAAGGGAAGCAGGAAGGCTAGGATACAGAGGTGGGAACACAGCTGAAAATAACTGTACATGAAAGAAGGAAAGACAATCAGCAAGGATAAAGAAGTTGAAGGAAGAATGAATACTGATAATACAATACTTAAGAGGTAAGGGCAAAGGGCAGACACGTTATAGGGCATTAAAAGAAAAAAAAAAAAAGGGCAGAATTTGCAAGTGTTGTGTATGTATGACAGCAGAAGATCACATCTGGCCAGTGACTTACTTTCCCAGTCACCAGCTGTAGAAAAGCCTGATTGTAAAGGAGCACAGTAGCAGATGGAAGATTTCAATCTTTGGAGTGACCTTGGGACATTTTTCAAGGGAATTGGCAAATAATTTCCCTAAGAGAAATCAGACTCTTACCAATAGCAGTGAGATCGATCTGGAAAAAAAAGCTACCTACAGTCTCCCCTCTCTGTTTCTTAAGAGAGATGTCTGCTCTGACACATGAACCTTCCGCCACAAAGGCAACTGACAAGGTGTGGAAAACAAGTAGAGAAAGACATATTCTACTGTATTAGAAAGTTTCACATCTCCAGTCTGTCTGACTGCTCCATATCAATACATGCTTAAGCAATATGCAAACAAGCTAGAAAAAAGTCATCTAGGGGAAAGCTATTCAAAGAAGGAGGGACTAAATAACTAAAAGCTAAAAAGTAAAAAAAAAAAAAAAGGGCCAAAAAAAAAAGGTCCATGAGAGCATTTTCAGTGTTTGCAAAACATGGTGGGAACCTGCAAGACAAATTAATGAAGTAATTAGCATCTATAAAACAGGAATGTTGGGAAACAATTCCTTTAATTTTACAGACAACTGTGGTCAATTAACTGACCACTGGCCTAGCTTTGACATTAATTCAATCCAAAGTCCCCCAAAGGAATGTTCTTTCTTACTTTGCAAAGGTCTCACAATGTTTTGCTATACATCTGTGCAGCAGTTTGTGTGTGCCAAGTGCTACGTGCTGATGATAACCATCAGTTCCATCACAGGCCTTGGGGTCTGGTTTGTATTAGAGGATACAGACTAGATGCACACAGGTAATTTATAACATACTATTATTACACAGGTTCCACTTTGGCAAGTTGGTGATGTACCTTTGGAAGAGAAACATTTAACTCTGACACACAACAGCAGCAGGTTTCAGTTACCTTCCTTCTCAAAACCTGCTTGATACTGTCCTAACTCTACACGCTGGATCTTTATTGTCCAGGAAAAGTTTTTGTTGGTCGTATTCCTTCTGGTTCCTCATTCTTAACCACTCTAACCACCAATAACCCACCAAACATGTAGCTTGTCTCCCTAGCATATTAAAATATCTACAAACCTGGTGTAAGCCATGCAAACACAGACCCCAGAGTATGTACACTGGACAAGAATCAAACCAAGGTCTCATATGCTAACCACCAAGAGCATTCACAGCTGTTAGCCCACTGTCATTATGGTCTTAAAGAGAAATATCATACACTCAGTTTTCTTTCAGCCAAAACACTCAGCCAAAAATGGTATTAAAAACTACTGCTGTCGTGAGCACCACTCGCTGTGGCACTACAGAAAAATTCAAGACATTCATTTTTTAATTGTTTATAACTTTGCAAAGTTATTTACTTTGGGTTTGAAGCTCACTATGCTTTGTTTCAGGCCAGAGGCAAGGGCTTGTTTGCTTTTAGCTTAAACAAAAGCACTTCAAGAGTTTTAGGGTGACATTTGCAGTAGATGGGTGTACTTCTTTGCTATGTTAAACCTAACCTACCACTGAAAAACTTAAATGGAATTGACAGAAGGCACAGAGAGAAAGTACTTCAAAGCATTCCTCTAGATTTTAAAGAAAGATAAAAAAAATTTGAAGCCAGAAAGCAGATTAATAATATAGAGTAAAAACGCAAAGATTAACAGCCAAAGAACTATCTGAAAATATTGAAAACAGACCTGCTATGCTAAAAGAAAGGCATAGCTCATTACTAAAAGAAATCGCTCAGCAATCACTGTTGACTAAAACAATAAAACTTAAAAGAGTCATGGGGGGAAGCAGCACACTGATGTGCAGAATTGCTTTCTAAAGTACTACACAAAGTAAGTATATAACTACTTTCTTTTACATATACAGTCACAAAGACATACATGCCAGAGCCTCCAAATACATAGAAGTAAACTTTAAAGCTAGCTAATTATGTTCACAGCAGAGTACTACTGTGAACTGCAGCATTGTCACTTCTGCTGTGCTCTCAGGATGCCTGCCTACCACTCCCAAAATGCCATTTTTGCGTATAACGAACTGAACTAC